ATACAATAGATTAAGCACACACATGGTTATTTGTCTAAGGATATTCTTATCTTTTTTGCTTTGTTAATTTGTTCAGAAAATATGAGAGAGATAAAATTGAAACTTTTTTTTCAAATTCAAAAATCATCTGCAATTTTTTTCCCTAAAAAGTGTTTATAACTTTTAAAAACAAAAGGATAAATTGATAAAATAAAATTAAAGCCGTATATTTATATTATCAATCCTGTGTATTAAATGTCTAGTTATGTAATTAGTCTTTATTATTATAGTTTAAAAGAATGAAATATGTAGAAATTAAAGCATCTTGCGTTAAAAATTATTTAAGTATTCTCTTCTTAAATTTTGACATTTATCGATTGCAATATATCACATATTATCTTATCTTATCTTATACATATAAAAGTGACAATAGGTGCTTGTCTTTAGGATGAAGCAATTCGTCCCTTAAACGAGTGGGACGAAACCTTAATGAGACGTTTGGTTCGTGGATTAAAATCATGAGATTATAATCATTTTCGATTTATGTGTATTTTATATGAAAAAAATATTATAGCGAACCATGAATCATATGCAATATATCACATATTATCTTATCTTATCTTATACATATAAAAGTGACAATAGGTGCTTGTCTTTAGGATGAAGCAATTCGTCCCTTAAACGAGTGGGACGAAACCTTAATGAGACGTTTGGTTTGTGGATTAAAATCATGAGATTATAATCATTTTCGATTTATGTGTATTTTATATGAAAAAAATATTATAGCGAACCATGAATCATGATTTGAATCAGAGTACGAATCCTCTTATCAAACGTCACATAAATTTTTATGCTTTGACTACTCAGATAATATATTTTAAACTGGCAAAGTATTAATAGTACCAAAAGTAACAAAATAGTATCCCAGGAAAAAATATTATTTTAATAGTACCAAAATAGGGAAGGGAAAATAAAAGACAAGATACGGATTATAATTTTTTTTATCTAAATTAATCAAAGTGAGTAAAAAAAATCTTATTTTCACGAGCACTACCAAATTTATTATTATTAATTTTTTAAAGATTTCACGAGCTTCCTAATGTTTCTAAAACTAGCTTTATCTTGGGCGGAGTGTTTCATATAAAATAATTGCTATACAAATTGTTTAAAAAAAAAAAAAAAACAGAAGACACAAAACCAATGAAAGTAAAAGCATGAAAATATTTGAAGTAAACGACGGATAAAAAATTATAACTTATTTTTTTGTGTTTTAAATTAATTTTATTTTATTTTGTTTATTGTGTTTGTTATTTAATTCAGTGTGGTTTTATTATATTTTAACTTATTTTTATTTAATTATATTTTTCATTCTAATTATTTATGGTATTTTATCTGAGCAGGATAAAAAATTTAAAGCAATACGGTATTAAAACGAACAAAATCAGACAACAAATCAACACTCTTTTTTTAGTCTTTGTATAGTTTTAGTGTTAAACATGCGCTACGCGCATGAGATTAATTTAAAACAACAGCTTTATAAATTGGTTTTAAAAAAATAAAAAAAAATAAGACATAAAAGAAATGAAAATAATATCAGGGAAAAAATCTTAAGCAAAAATAAAGGAAAAAGTTTTAACTTATTTTGTTATGTTTTAAATTAATCTATTTTATTTTGTTTAAATTTTTTTTTTTTTTTTACATTGGTGCAATTTTAGTTTATTTTATTATATGTTTGTTTAATTTCATTTTATTATTGAAAGTATTTTTATGTGAGTAGTATTAAAAATTTGATACAGGTGCTAAAATAGACAATATAATCAATTCAAAAAAAATAAATAAATAATAACAAATAATAATAAAAAATAACCATGAAAATATTTTGAGCCGTCGAATAAAAAATTCCAACAACTCATATTGGCGTATGACCTACACGCGCAAAGTGACACGCGTCCAGGGGGTGAAAGGGGAGAAGCGTGTCAGTTGGCGTAGCAGGCGGGCCCCGCCACTTTCTCCTTCAACCAATCAAAGGTGACACATGACAGCTGCAGTCGGCCACTATCTGAGCTATGCGGGATTCTGCATTGCATTCTTTCGTGAGCTCGTTTCTCTCCTCTTATGCATGCTGGCACGTGGCCTGTAATTTGTGTGAACTAATCAAAACTTGCCACGTCTACTTAAGCGAGCAACCAATTGGCATGCGACGCCTGATTTTTTTTTAGAGCTTTTCACTGTAGCAGAAAAGTTAGATGTGACATTTTCTGATAACTTTTAACTGTAAAAATATAGAACTGAAAACTCAAATCCGCGAAATGAACGAGGCGTCAGTTAGTCCAACCCCACCTGGTTACTTTCTCAAAAAAAAAAAAAAACTATTTCGTTCAAAACCTCAAAAAAAAAAACCCGTTCTTCTTTAGAGGTATGTATGGATGGATACGTTTAAAAAAATCCACTATAATACAGTTGCGCGTGAGAATCTTTTTAAATTTTTTTTATAATAATAAATCTTTTTTTTTAATGAGCAATTCAAACACGGGAGTTATGTAAACTTTAAAGGCTCATGTATTTCGTACATTTAAATCTATAATTTTAATTATGTTATAATATTTTTTTTCCATAAAAATTTAAAATTTAAATGTTAAAATTAAGAATCATAAATTTAAATGTATAAATAAAATGAGCCCTTATCAATTCTCTACCTCTTATTGGTGAGGTGTAATTTGAAAGTTAATGCAAACAAATCTTTTTCATTTACATGTACAAAAACGAATCTCTTTTATATTTATACAAAATAAGTAGTTTTTCTTGTAAGATCAGAAAAATAAAATTATTGATAGTTTTATTTTTTTAAGTTATTTTTAATCGTTAGATCTACATTAAAAACTTTTTGTTATGCATATTTTTTAACATAATTTAATTTTAATAAGAACTAATAGTTAGAAAAATAATCTTATCAGTAGGATGACCCACCAGAAAAACTCTCTGTAAAATATGCTATGACGTTTATAAGAACGCCAACTTCAATTTAAGGGCCGTTTAGTTTAATGATTCGAGTTGAAATGTGACAGTATGTGAGAGCGTTTTATTGTAGCATAAAAGTTAAATGTGATTATTTTTTAGAGCTTTTTATTGTAACAAAACTTAAATTTTAAACTGTAAAATAAACGAGGTCTTAGTTGAAGAAGTTCTTGGGAGTCCACAAATTTCAGTTACCAAGAAAAAAAAGTTCGACACTAAAGGCGATGAATCTTGATAAACTTGTCTTCTCTCACCATAGTGAATGGATAGAAGAAATATCACATTTTTCTCCTACAAAAATGAAGAAATATCATTCTATTTTTTTAAAAAAAACAACAAGATACCATCACTATTAAGCATCATCAATAACATAAAAAAAAAAAAAAAACTTATCTGCACATCTCGGATTACGAATTGAATTAATTTTTTAATTATTAAATTCATGTATATTTATATTAAAAATTTACAAACCTGTAGAAGTGCTTATACTTTAAATCCAACAGTAAAAAACGTTTAGAAGACGTTTGGTTCATGGATTAGAATCATGTGATTAGAACTATTTTCGATTTACGGGCCCGTTTGGTTTGAGGATCCAGGACAAGATTAAAATCATGTGTTGAAAACATGTTTGGTGTCGTATGGATTGGAGTCATGGACTTGAGTTAAGGTTCATTTTTTGGGTCCTGATTTTTGAATCAGGACCCCTCTGATTCAGCCCAAGACTTCAGTCTTTGTACAGTAATTTCACTGTGCTTAAAGCAGTTAATCCTTGTGGCCTTTTCCGCATCTCAGCACTATCATTTGCAGAGTGACTTTTTAACAAAGGTGTACATGGATGTAGAATTGTAGATAATGTTGTTATTTTCTTTTTTAGTAGTTTGGTTAGCAATATAATATTTCTCACATTTTTAATATATGCTTGGCTTGTTATATAATTTCATTCACATTTTTTCCATTTATTTCTCACTTAGTTTGTAATAATTTTGAGTTAAATTATTTGCATAATTTTTTTTTTAGTACTTCATTTTTTTAATTATATAACGAATTATATATATTTTTTAAATTACATGTAACGAATTATATTTATTACATAATTTTTTAAATTACATTATTTTGGTCATGATTCATTTCAAATTCAGAAAACAAGACAACCAAATACTGATTCGAATCACATTTCAGATTAGAATCAAAATCATGTATATACACATCCAAACGAAGGTTCTAATCATTCTGAATCATAATTCAAATCATAAATCATGATTCTAAATCAAAAGACTCAAATCACCATGATTTCAATCCTTATACTAAACGGACCTACGTGTATTTTTTATAAAAAAAATATTATAATAAATTATAAATCATAATTCAAATTATAATTTGAATCCTTCAACTAAACCCCTTCTTAAAACACATTTACTATCGCTTGAGCAAAAGAGCCTTTCTACCTTAAATACACCCTTATTTATTTATTTATTTTTAAAAAGACGTACAAAATATCCGTTGCGAGTTGCTAGTTGCGACTTCGAGGCGTGTCAAAAAGGTCGGAGATATTATAGCTAAAGTAGCAATCACCGAATCCCGAAAAACGACAAACCTGTAAATGGACCCACCTGAACACATTCCAGCATCAATATTTTTGTGAACGTATTTATGTATTTAAATTATAATTTAAAATTATTTTTATTTTATGATGTATTTTTTATGAAAGAAAATTATTATTCTGAGTAGAGAAAATCATAAATGAATACAAAAAATAAATATTCAAAATTATTTTTATTTTATGATGTATTTTTTATGAAAGAAAATTATTATTTTGAGTAGAGAAAATCATAAATAAATACAAAAAATAAACATTATCTTTAAATGTCATTAATATATTTTAAAGAAAAAAAAAACAAAAGAACAGTTCTCAGTAGAAAAAAATATTAATAAAAATAAAATTAGATGGTGCTAAGTTTCCAAACATCAATATATAGTTGGCAATCCAGTTCCATTATCATGTTCTCAGAGTGCTCTGCAAAGCTCTTCTCAAACACAAGAGGGAGTTGAGGGATACAAAACAAATATTCCATTCTCAAGTCTTCAATCTCTTATCTTCAGCCTCTCACGTTAGTATGTTATTTATTTATTTATCTGGGGTTTTCAAGATTTTACGATCTCTGCTTTTTTTTCTTCTTCTTCTTCTTGGCAAAAACTCAAAATGTGCGCGTTTAATCTTCTGCGAACTCCATTTTACGTGCAGATTCTGATTTTGGGGTCTGATATGGGGAGATTAGCAATACCCATTTTGTGTTTTCTGCTGTTGAGCTGCTTAGTAGCTGGGACAGAAGCAGAATACTTGAAATACAAAGACCCAAAACAGCCACTGAATGTGAGAATCAATGACCTTTTCAGTAGAATGACACTTGAAGAGAAGATCGGCCAAATGGTCCAGATTGAGCGGGGAGTGGCAACCCCAGAAGTCATGAAGAAGTACCTCATTGGTAACCAAAGATTTTTTTATAATTTTTTTTAAAAAACTCTATTTTCATGTGATTAAAGTTCTCATATTGTGTCCATTGACAATATTTGGATATTGTAAATGGGTCTTTAAAGAGGAAAAAAAAAAAAAAAACCTCTTTTCATGTGATTAACGTTCTCATATTGTGTCAATAGACCATATTTGGATATAAAATTCTTGTATTGTAAAAGGGTTTTTTGTTTTTAATTTTTTTTATTTCTAATATTTAGGGAGTGTACTGAGTGGAGGAGGGAGTGTGCCAGCTCCAAAAGCTTCGGCTGAAACTTGGGTGAATCTGGTGAATGGGCTCCAAAAGGGATCTTTGTCCACTCGTCTTGGGATTCCAATGCTTTATGGTATTGATGCCATTCATGGCAACAACAATGTTTACAATGCCACCATTTTCCCCCACAATGTTGCTCTAGGAGTTACCAGGCAAGCAGATATTAAGAATTTTTTTTTTTTTTTTTCATTACTAAGCTTTCAAAACATTGGAATTCAGTCATTAGCCAAATATATGACGTACTTGTTTCTTTTTGTGCTTTTGTTTTGTTCATTCTATTTTTGGGTTTGTGTCTGTTAGAGATCCTAAGCTTATCAAGAAGATTGGAGAAGCAACTGCTCTTGAAGTTCGAGCTACAGGAATTCCTTATACCTTTGCTCCATGTATTGCGGTAATTGAAAAATCAGCAACGCATATGAAATTTTTTTTTTTTTTTTTCGATTTCGAAAAGGCCGCCTTGAATCAATATTGACTTGATAATTGATATCTATCCATGAGTGTTTTTGCAGGTCTGCAGAGATCCGAGATGGGGTCGGTGCTACGAAAGCTATAGCGAGGACCACAAGATTGTTCAGATGATGACTGAGATTATTCCTGGTTTGCAAGGAGATCTCCCTGCTAACTCTCGAAAAGGTGTTCCTTTTGTTGGTGGAAAGTAAGAGCCTTACTGATTATAACCCATTTGCCTATTAGTTACCTTTTTGGGTTAGATTTTGTTTGAGACTTATTCACATCAATCACAGCTTAAGATTATGATTGGACCAACTTGGGCTGAGAAAAGTTTGTGCTTTTCTGTGATGATGCCATCAGCTAGCATATTCTGAAAACCACTGCAAAGTTTAAAGTTTAGCTTTTTTCATATAACTCTCAGGGATGACTGCTTTTTTGCTTCACATTCATAAGATGCAAGCATAAGATATTTGGACATTGTAGCTATCACGTTTTCTTTCATGCCTTAGAGGTGGCCCATCTGTTCCACTTTATGACAACCATTATTAAATGGTTTCTATTGTATAAGAACTATCTCTTTTTATGATTCTGGGGGTTCAAGATATCTTTCTGATGGTAGGCTTCACTTGGGCCCAGTTGGTCATCCAAAACATGAACATGAGCTCCATTCATTGGTTTGATATGTTGATCTGCCGACGTTGGTTTAAAATATCATAAAACAAAAAATCTAATTGAAGGATTCTGCTTGGTAACTTGCGCTTTATTTATTTTAATCTTTGTTTTTTATTTTTAAAAATAAAAAAATGGAAATATGGAATGAAGGGTGTGGATCTCCTTATGCAGGCATTTGACATTGTGTATACTGAGTAATAGATTTGGTAATTAGCGGTTAGTTAAAGAGCATGATTGACTAGAGGGTCATTGTTAGCAATTGGTTAGAAGGCAATCAATAGTATAAAAAAGGGTTAGGAGTGTTAGGTGGGTCATTTCTGAATTGTGGGTGATTTGGAATTGTTTTGGGGCTTGGGAAACCAAGATTAGGGGGAGTGGTCTCACGAATACCACCGAGCTAGGGTTCTTGTACTGTTTTAGAGATTTATCAGTTTTGTCGAATAAAGATTCATTACTCTTGCTCATCTATCTGTGTTAGAGATTGTTGGGTTCCTAATACAGTGTTTGTAAAAATAAAATGTGTTTGTGTTTTTCCTGGTGGCCTAGTTTGAAATGTGGAAAAGACTCTAGATTTAATAATAAGATTGGTTTTCCGATTCACTTAAAAATAGGAGATTATAATATACTCTTAGACTAGTCCTCTTCACTTTTGAAGTCTTGTACTGTTTTAGAGATTTATCAGTTTTGTCGAATAAAGATTCATTACTCTTGCTCATCTATCTGTGTTAGAGAGATTGTTGGGTTCCTAATACAGTGTTTGTAAAAATAAAATGTGTTTGTGTTTTTCCTGGTGGCCTAGTTTGAAATGTGGAAAAGACTCTAGATTTAATAATAAGATTGGTTTTCCGATTCAATTAAAAATAGGAGATTATAATATACTCTTAGACTAGTCCTCTTCACTTTTGAAGTCTTGTTATACTGGGAATTATTTTTGAAATGCATTTGACAAGAAGCTTAGCAAATGGCAAGCTGGAACTGATGAGTTCTGTATTATTTGGCTAGAACAAAGGTTGCAGCCTGTGTGAAGCACTTTGTGGGAGACGGTGGAACGAACAAGGGCATCAATGAGAACAACACTCTAATAAGCTGGAAAGGATTGCTTGACATTCACATGCCTGCATACGTAGACTCCATTAGAAAAGGTGTTGCAACAGTTATGGTGTCGTACTCAAGCTGGAACGGGAAAAGGATGCACGCAAACCGCGATCTAGTTACTGGATTTCTCAAGAACAAACTCAAATTCAGGGTAAAAATAAAGCAGATATCATTTAAATAAGTTGTTTAAAAACCCAATTTTAATTTCCTTGTACTTGACAAATAATGGAGATGCTAGGCATGTAACTTTTTTTTTTTTTGGTTGTGTCAGGGTTTTGTCATATCGGATTGGCAGGGTATTGACAGAATTACTTCCCCTCCTGGTAGTAACTATTCCTATTCGGTTCAAGCTGGAGTTAGTGCTGGAATTGACGTGGTTAGTCAAAACTCGGTTACATTGTACACTCATGTCATACTTACCTTCGCTAATAATTAAATTTTGAATATTAATGCTAAGTTGGAAACTTATTTGATCCTCTGGTTGACACAAGTTTTATCTGTTATTTTTGCAGATAATGGTTCCCTATAACTTTACAGATTTTATTGATAAGCTAACCTACCAAGTGAAAAACAATATCATCCCGATGAGCAGGATTGATGATGCAGTTAAGAGGATCTTGAGGGTTAAATTCATCATGGGTCTCTTTGAGAACCCGCTTGCTGATCTCAGCCTGGTCAACCAGCTTGGCCATAAGGTCTGTTGCTTCGGATTTATCATTTATAATCAGAAGTATTATTTCTGTCTTCATATTATAACATGCTTAAATTTTTGCCTTTGTGAATCGGACGAAACGTTTTTACAGGAACATAGGGAATTGGCAAGAGAAGCTGTTAGAAAGTCACTTGTACTGCTAAAGAATGGGAAATCGGCTGATAAGCCATTACTTCCCCTTCCCAAGAAAGCGACCAAGATACTAGTTGCCGGAAGTCATGCAGACAACTTAGGCTATCAATGTGGAGGCTGGACAATTACATGGCAGGGCGTTGGTGGAAATGATATCACAGCTGGTATGTTCTAGTTTTACTCAGTAACCATTACTTTCAATCCATGACTTGGAGAAATGTTTTAGTTGTATACACAACACTACAAATGCGCATACCATACGCGCATATCTCTGCATAAAACCAAATTGTGTCACGTTGAATCTTTTATTGGAACTTCCTAGAAAAATGCAAATTAGAGTAGCTTAAGAACCCTGGCTCATACTTGCAAGGTGCTAAATGGCAGAATCTTTTTATAGTTTTATACTAGTGTAATCTTGCTTCTGTGAATAATGTGGTTCTTCGTATTGGTGGGATGCCAGGAAAATGAAGCACTGACATGCAGTGGCGAAGCAAGAATATATTGTCAATAGGGACGCTACGGACAAAAAAATAGAGAATTTGTAATTAGATAGGGACATCGTTATAAATTTCAATTATTGGGTGGAGGAACAAATATAATTTTTTCATAATAGGGGGGAACAACTGAAATTTTTCTAAAAAATTGTTTAAAAATTGAAATTTCAAAAGTTGAGTGGGGCACTCAACTATAAGTGGCTCCGCTACTGCTAAAATGAAGAATCTAACGTTTTACTATGGGGATACCATGATCAAAGTCAGTTATTACATTATATTTGTTAATAAGCTATCTTCATATACAGGTACCACAATCCTCAAGGCAGTGAAAAACACTGTTGATCCTACCACCCAAGTTGTCTACAGCCAGAATCCTGATGCTAACTTTGTCAAATCGAACAACTTCTCCTATGCCATCGTTGTCATCGGTGAGCCTCCATTTTCGGAAACATTTGGTGATAGTTTGAACCTGACAATAGCTGAACCTGGTCCAAGCACTATCAAGAACGTTTGTGGAGCTGTAAAATGCGTCCTCATTGTTGTTACCGGCCGCCCTGTTGTAATCCAGCCCTATGTTTCCACCGTTGAAGCGCTTGTTGCAGCATGGCTCCCAGGAACTGAAGGCCAAGGTGTTGCCGACGTTCTGTTTGGTGACTATGGATTCACAGGCAAGCTTGCAAGGACATGGTTCAAAACCGTCAACCAGCTTCCCATGAATGTTGGCGATCCACATTATGATCCCCTATTTCCATTCGGGTTTGGTTTAACTACTGAGCCTAACCAGTAGAAAATCAACATATCCCAAACTTAGATACGACATTGAATCCAATTTTTCCCCCTTCCCCTTTTCCGTGAAGAGCTTTTATTTATGTTCATCATTGTTGTGCTACTGGATATATATATATTTCAGATTGAATGTAGTTGAACTTCATGGAAATATGTATCCAACTACCTACCTAATAAGATGTTAATTGTTGGAGTCGAAATCTGTCGAAAGCCTTCGTCTTGAATGTCAAATCCCAAAAAATGTTGCCCTTTCATTGTTCAATCCGATTTCAAGTTCTAAATATGTTGACAAAATCGAAGGCCATAAAATCAAAATTTACACCTAAATGCGGTTGGATCTATTCTTCATTGTATCTCTGTTTTTGTTTATAATATTTTCCAACATCGCCAGGGTTGACTAAGCCAGAGTTGACCCTAAGGCAGGGAACTGATGCTGTCGTTTTTATCATCTTGGCCGCCTCAACGGCAACAATGGGAGACCCAATCTCCAGTTTTGAATGTCGTTTTTACTCTCAGTATCTGTTGAAGATTCACACTTTATAGTGAAGATTAAGCTTGAAGGATAATTGGCTGCAGAAGAAAGAACAGATATTGCCATGATTTTGCCAAGATATTGCCAAGATTCACACTTTATAACCATTGTTACAAATGACATAAATAACCTTAATGATCAATATTTAAACATTATCTTAAAAACTAATAACTAAGAAACTAAATTTAAAGAAAAAAGGTAAATTTTCAATAAATAAATTCTATGTTTTTGGAAAAAAATATAAAACTCAACTAATCAAATTGGTCTAGCTTCACACAAAATCTCACACCCTCGTCATTGATACACAGCTGGTAGATTTGGACATGTAAAATCAGTCTTGTTCCGAAACTTAACACTACACCGTAGTCATTCAAACACGTCAACTCTTTTGTTTTCTTGATTTTATTTAGTTTTAAAACTTATGTTTTAAAAGATTTGCATAATTAAATAATATCTAAATAGTACTCATTGAGGTTATTTTAGTATTCTGATCAATTAAAGAGATTATTTTATTTTATTTTTATTTTTATTTTTTACTCTTTAGAAAAACACAAGGGATAATTTTAGGATAATCTAAAAATTTAAGGGATACCTTTAAAATTATCAAAAACACATGGATAAATGTTAGATCTAGCTAAAACTCAGGGATACTTTTTAAAATTTTCCTCTAAAATCTCTTCCTTTATTTTTTATTCTTACTTTTTTTATTAGGGTAATCGATTAAAAAGTCTTTCATTCAATTAAAATTTACATGTTGAGAAGTGGAATTGGATATTGCTCACTCTATTTCTTTGTGGGTCATCTTCAACTAAGGAATTTAGGAGAATAATTGACAACCTCATTTTCAAAGCTTCTTTTCGACTTCGATTAAAAACGCCTCATCTTTTTATGAGAAAAGTACATGGTTTAGGATGATTTTGTAAATATTTGATATTTATGTGATTCTAAATAATTAAGTGTCATTATTATTTTTTGTTTTTTTAATAATTAAATGACAATTGTTTATTTTTAAATATGTGACATAAATAATATTTTTACCATTTTTAGTGATACTTTTAGTTCTTTCCTTTAATTTGGAGTTTCCATCTTTGGATGTATTTTGAGTTATTATTATTATTATTATTGGGATATGTTGCTTGGACAAAGAAAAGGATAGCCTAAAATCTAGTGCAATTGACGAGGAGATTATTTACCGATAAATTAAGTATTTTGAGTTTAAATATTTGTGAGTCTTTGTTAGTTTGATGTGTTTTTGTGTGTTTTTATAGGAATCATTAATAAATGGGAAAATATGGTGAAAACAAGGAAAAAATTCGAGTTTTGGAAGCTATCGGGATGAACCATGGACGAGGGCAAGGACCTGCGCAAACCGCCACACAAAATGGGATGAAAAACGCCCAAGAGGGGCTGGTGCGCGCCTGCACGCGCTAGCAGCGCACTTGGTGCACCACCTGCTGCGCGGCCGTGTCCCTTATTGCGCTGAAACGTGCCTTTGGGCCATTTTTTGGCCATTGATCATTTTGGATGGCCATTTTTGACCCTTGGATGAGTTTAGATGAAGTTATTTATTATTTTTGGGCATACTTAAGCAAGAGAAACCCTAGTTCCCAACTTAGAGAGGATGAGAGGCACAAAAATTTCTAGAGAGAGAAGCTTGGAGTTGGAGATTCTTGAAGATTGCTTGGGGGAGATTCTTGAAGAATGCTTGGGAGAAATTCTTGAATATTTGAAGCTCATATCTACAAGAGTTTTCTCTTCATTCTCCTTTTTTATTGTAATTTTTTTAGTTTTTATTCTTAAATTTGTGATTTTCCTTATGGATTCCTTTATGCTGAGCTAGACTTTATATTCTAGAGCTTGATGTAGCTTTATTTGAACCATGTTTGATTATCTTGTCAATTGTTAGTTAAATTACATCTTAATTTATTTATGTTTCTCTATGCTTAATGTTTCTAATTTATGTGGCCAATGAGTTAGATAATTTTAGATTGTGATTTTGATGCTCGGGAGAGATGGATTCATAGTCCGGAATTGGGAAACATAGTCTAGGTTGTCGTGAGTTCGGGAAGAGATTGACACTTAGATAATCTCGTTGAGAGTCTAGGATATTTGAGACCAATAGGTGATCAAGACCTTGATTATCAACTAGGATTTCGATTGTTGTGAGGCTGTGAGGCGATCGACATTTGATTTCCAATTTAAGGGTTAAACTTAATGAGTGTATGAGTAAACATGTTAGATATGAATAGAGGTGTCAAAGTGCCGTGTTGGACCGGAACGACATGTCTGACCCCAGGCCCGCCACGGGCCTAGGCCGGGCCAGGCATGACCCTGAACAGTTCAGGATCATGCTTGGGACGGGCTTGAGGGAAGACCTTCAGGCCCAACACTGGTCCATGTCCTCGTCCATAAGGGCCATGGTAGGGCCCGGGCCTAGGCCCTTCATGGGCCAGCCCTGGTCATTTTAATTATTTTATAATATTTAATTAAAAAAAAGAAAATATATCATATGCCCCCAAAAGATGTGATTTTATTGAATTGAAATAATACAATAAGTACACATAAATGTCTGTCTCGTTAAAAATCTTGCCAAGTAAAACCCATGGGGAGATCGGGACAAAACCTTAGTGAAGGAAAAAAAACTACAATATTCTAGGATAAGTAAATTACACTATTGAAGAATTGATTCTTGAAGATTTTGTTATGTCTATGTTCAAAAAATATTCTTGAATTGAATCATCTGTATAGTGTTGTTTTCGTCTTATGGCATCTTCCCAGTCTTTAACACACATTAGCCCCTCCAAGATATCCAGATACATTCTGCTCCTTTTCTCGTTAAGAATTCGGTTGCTTGCACTAAATGCTTGCTCCGATTCTACCATTGACACTGGAGTTTTCAGAATGTCACGTGCTATTATGGACAGTGTTAGAAAATTATCGGTCTTGCTCCTCCACCACTGTAAGATGTCCAGTTTGTCCTCATCGATTACAAAATTATCAACTAGAGATTGTCTCATTGCATAAAACACTTTCATGCAATCAAAACGAGTTGTGTTTCTACTTACCCGTTTAAATTGTAGGCAGAAGCCCGTCTGTATGAATTCTTCAAACGCTGCATCATCTGCAAAAGAAAGAGGTAATTCGGCACTAGTTAAAAGTTTAACTAGTACCTTAGGAGCACGTTGTGCGTCGTATGTAAAATTTTACAACCCTTATGATGTGAGTGATAGTGTTTGTTGGTGGGAGTCCACACTCCCACCTTGGTGCAACGGTAGACATGCTTTTCAATGTCTATTGAGATGACTAATACCCCTACCTTTTTTATTAGAAAAGTATTTTTTACAATATTTACATACCGCACAAATTTCCATTTCACATGTTTTTGGATTTTGTCGGGGCTCCTCTGTGAAATGCTGTCATGCGGGAGAAGTTTGCGGTCTTTTTCCCCTGTCGCGTTCTCCAACTTCCTCGTTGTGCACCGAAGCATTATCAACCGGATTTGGAACAGTTTATGGTTTAGTAGGGTTGGAGTTATGGGCCAACATTTCATCCTCATAAAATGGTACATCACAAAGCTCAGGGAGCACAAGAAAATCAAGGATATTTGATGCGGTCATTTTTTGAAAAAAAAAAAAACAGAAACTAATGTTAATTTGTTCATTTATAAACAATAAACAATATAAATAAACTTGAGTAATACAATGTTATGTAACAAAATTGATAAGTATAATACCTTTTTTCGGGATTTTTTCAAATTGATTGAACTTTGTGAATGAAAGAGTAAGAAATTGATGAATCGAGAGAGAAAAGCTTAGACGCAATATCAAAGAGACAAGATGAGAGATTTTTTGAGAGTGAGATGAGAAATTTAGAGTGAATTGTTGTGGTGAATATTGTGTGAGATTTAAGGGTATTTATAAGGATTTTTTGAGCAATTTCTGACCAAGTGACCGTTGGGCCCATCGCGTGCCTAACGGTCACTTGGTCGCGTGCTTGGAAGGTCGCTTCACGGGCCGAACATGGGCCTAAGCCGGGCCGAACACGTGCTTGGGCCGAATCACGGGCTTCAAGGGCTAGGATCATGTAACGACCCGCACCCCCACCTGGTATGATATTGTCCGCTTTGAGCCTGAGCCCGCACGATTTTGCTTTTAGGCCTCACCCTAAAAGGCCCCATACCATTAGGAGGTGATGTCATTCCTTATAAACCATGACCCATCTTCATCCCCAGGCGATGTGAGACTGCACAACTTACCCATCTTCATCACGGGCCGAACATGGGCCTGGGCTGGGCCGAACACGGGCCTGGGCCGAATCACAGGCTTCAAGGGCTAGGATCATGTAACGACCCGCACCCCCACCTGGTATGATATTGTCCGCTTTGAGCCTGAGCCCGCACGGTTTTGCTTTTGGGCCTCACCCTAAAAGGCCTCGTACCATTAGGAGGTGGTGTCATTCCTTATAAACCATGACCCATATTCATCCCCAGGAGATGTGAGACTGCACAACTTACCCTTTCTTGGCCTTGTGCCTCAAGGGATTGATGTTTGTCACAATCACCCCTCCTTATAGGGCCCAACGTCCTCGTTGACCACATTTTTGGCTGGGTAGAGTCTCTGATACCATATGTAACGACATACACCCACACCTGGTATGATATTGTCCGCTTTGAGCATGAGCCCGCACGGTTTTGCTTTTGAGCCTCACCCTAAAAGAACTCATACCATTAGGAGGTGGTGTCATTCCTTATAAACCAAGACCCATCTTCATCCCCAAGCGATGTGGGACTGCACAACTTATCATTTCTTAGCCTTGTGCCTCAATGGGTTGATGATTGTCACAGGTCGGGCCTGACCCGCGAGCTAAGAAGCCGAGGCCTATCCCTAGCCCATATAATGTGCCGGGCTGGCACAGCCCGTAACAATATCGTCTCGGGCTGTGCTGAATCTGGCACTGTTATGGGTTGGGCCAGGCAATCCATGGACGGCCCGCCCCATTTGACAACTCTAGATATAAATATTGATTTGGTTATTCATGCATATGACTTTGTTTGATGCTTGAGAGAAGTAACGGTGTTATATTAGGTCCATTGATTAATGAATTGAGTGGATTAGCTAGCAATGGTTTGATAGGATGAACATATAAATGATAAGATGAAGTCAAGTCCCTAATACATTTGTGCATAAAAGTTTCCATATTTTATTTTGTTTTTGTATTTATTTTTTTGTTCTAATTCTATTTTTATTTCATTGAATTCGGTTGTCTAGATAAAGTTAAATTACAATAATCTCGGTACTTAGCGGCAATTTAATACTTAATTTATGTGGAAACGATACTCACTCATCATTTACTATCAAAATTTGATACTGTACGCTTGCGGCGGACATCAATTCAACCCATTTTTACTCCCATATTCGTTTAGTTAATTTGAATCACAATTTAAATTTTTATTATAATATTTTTTTCATATAAATTTACTTTTTAACTTAAATTTTTAATTGAAACAAGTACAATGATCGGGACTAAACCATACACGTCAGCAATTTTTAGTCCAGGGCCCTTGGGTTGTGCACCGTGCACCACAGCCTACCACCGATTCCCAGTGAATTTGAGTGGAGAGATTTCTCAGACTCCCGCCTAAACGTTGTTTTTAGGGCTTTTGACATAAAAAAAAATCTTTTTGTACTGCGTTTCTTGAATAGTTCCAGAACAATGGTTTCCAAGGAGCGCAAAATTAGCTCCAAGCCCACCACCGCAGCAAAGGATTCTCATGCTCAGTTTCGCGGTTTCCAAACCCTAATTTCTGCAATTCAATCCTCCGAGGTCCGCTATCTTGATCTGTTCACATGCGTACATTTCTGGAATTTTAGGAGATTTAGGGTTTAATTTCCGTATCCTGTTTTTGGCAATTTAGGTTTTTGTTCGCGTTCTTCATGATTCCTTGCGATTGGTAATTTTTGTTTTAAAATTTTGTTTATGTTTAAATTTCAGGGTCTAAAGCCTCCAGTTTTGAAAAGTTGGTACTGTATACTGGTGAATTTGTCCTTAAAGGAATCAATTGGGTGTTCCGACAACAAAGATTCTCCGAACTGCTCGGATACTGGGTTGAAAATGGAACCTAAAGATAGAAGCCTTGTTGCTGAACGTTTGTTTGAGGAACTTGGTAATAGGTTTGAAACCTTATTCTCTGCTTTGTGTGATGTTTCTGCAAATCGAGAAAATGGGCATGCCATCTTAGGTTCAGATGTGTGGGCGAATGTTGATGAACTGACCCTTCTGTTAAGATGTTGTATGGTAATCTTGACCTTGGTTGACGAAGCTTTAGTGCTCGAGAAATTTCAAGTTCTTCTGTTGATACTTGGGAAGTTAAAATCCTTTGTTACAAGTGGAGGAAACGAGAAACGTCCTGTCACTTTCAAGAAGTTCATTTCTCGTGAATTCTCCTTCGGTGATGCTACTTCTGCCACCGCTGTTTCGGAGGATTTTGTTGCTTCTATATCTATCTTGGAACCTTCTGAGCCATGCCGTCCATTTCTATGTGCAATTCTTGAGGTATGGTTTTGAAATCATATTTTCAATTGTCTTAAGTGGGATTACGATACGCTTTCGGCTTTCCTACCAACTTTAATGGCTTTCAACTTTAAAAAGAAGTTAGTTGGAAGGATGAGATGCGTGTATTTTTCATATTCTTGTACGCCTAATATTATTCTGTTTCCTACTAATTTTAGTGTTAGGTTCGAACTTTGAATGAAGGAAAAATTTGATGTACTTTCAGTAAATCAGTGTTTGTGATTTATCCAAAGCCTTGTCTACCCGGTGTAGGACCTGGTAGGAGACAGAATTTAGAGAGAAGAATAAAACCAAGGTAGAGAAGAAGAATCACCAGAGAGATAGATATAAAACCATGGGGGAGAAAAAAGGGGTTCTGGGGAAATGCTCAAGAGGAGGAAAACCATTAATCTCAGTATTTATTAATTAATCTTTTCCATAATTGAAATTACGAAGTACCAAAATTATAGGCAGACCTACCAAATAACAAAGTAGGAAACTAAACCAAAATGAAATAACGAAACTAACCCAATTTCTAAAATAGCATAAATTCCTAATTATTTAAAAAACAAAAAGGTTATTCTAATAGTGTCCCGCATCACTAACATAAATGACATTCTTTTGTACTCTTTTGTGATTGCTTGATGAAATTTTGCGCAATAATTCAGTTATTATACACATATTGGGATTTGGAAGATAAGAATTACCTCTGAAAGATCCTGAGGCAATGGGATATAAGAATAATCTTTCTTCCTTCCTGTAATTTCATATTAGATAAGTTCAATTAAACTTCAACTCATCTGTGAAACTTGATTTGGGAATATATTTGTTAGGTATTTGCAGATGAGCTTTCGATGCATAGATTGTTGAGAGAGTATTTCATGCTCGTTGATTATGCTTCTTGCACAAGCAGAGCGCTTTTCAGCGGTCATTTTCTTAATGATGGTATTGCAAGTGTGCTGGAGGTTATTTCTCTTCATTTCATTATATCGTTTTCTGATGAGCAAGGATTTGAGCATTTCCTTAATAGATTAAGTTGCGGAGATTGCAAGCGTTTTAGAGTTCCTGATCTTAGCCTGAATGCGGCTGTATCACTGCTTTTGAACCCCATCATTCTTTCAGCACCAAAAATGTTCCAGGCACATTTGATTTTGTTGGTTTCTGAAGCAATTGGTGTTAGCATGTCTTCAAATATTAGACCCTCCGTCAGACTTATGACTTGTTACCTAACTGCATTTGAAAGGTCCGTCATCTTGTACACTAGATTCATGTCCACTCTGCTTATGGATGGTCATCCCATAGGTAGTAAAGATTCTTGCGCAAATCATGGTTCATTTGGCAGAAGGTATGAATCTTCTTTTAAACATCACATTCATGAAGTTACCAATGCGAAGGTATGTGATGTAGTTTGTAAATCAGATTCTTTATGGAGGTCACATCTGTCCAATACGTTTTCTAAAGAAAAACCTGACCTTCTGGCCGAATCCACTGCATACATAAACGAGAGCCAACAAGGTTTTGATGAATCATGCAAAAATGATATCTCGTCAATTTTGAACAGCATACTACTTGGAGCCTTTTTGGACAATATAAGCGATACTGTATTATCTCGAAAGGGGGGAACAAGTTCTCAAGATATTTGTCTTATTGCTGCTATGCTAAAGTTAATCAGCAGTTTGATGTCAATAGTCTTTTGGTGTCTAAGGAATGCCAAAGACTATAGTTGTTTGAAAGCCTTAGAAGATGCTTCGTCATGTAAGGAGTATGATTTTATCGTGGATGTTATTAGCTGTTTTCGGCAGTTTAATGTATCTTTACCGAGTCAGAAGAAATTATTTTGCCTAATGAAAACTCATCGAATCAGGCATAAGACCACCAAGTGGATGCTTTTGCATTTCTCAGGCTTGCTATCATTAAGTTTTGTGAGTGGGTTTGATTTGTTGGTGAAAAATTGTGCAATTGTGATTGAGACACTGATGAATCTCTATGTTTTTGAAGAGGGTAATGTAGTTACAATGAGATCGTTACTTGTTTCTGGTTCAGAATCTTTTTCATCTTACACTCCTCCTGTCAAAGTTGAAGAGGTGAATATCATTTAATTTCCCTTGTTTTTGTATTTTTTTCTTTTGCCCTTATTTTTCACTTTCTCACTAGTCCCTCCTTTTCACACTTTTGAGCTATTGCTAAATGTTGCAGGCCCTGGTGGATCAGAAATCGAGTCAAAAAATTGTTTCAAAGATTAAGAAGATTCAAACTATGTGTTTGAGGTACATGCTTCTGTTATATGTACACCACGTAAAAATTAAGTTGAACATGTTAATCTGTTAATTCTTGCTTCTATTGTTTAAGTTTCCTTTCTTTGTCAATTTCTTTTAAAATGTTCGTTACTATCTTTGCTACGTTATCCATTCAAGTCTAGCTTATGGAGTTATTATTTGCAAAAAAAAAAAAAAAAAAAGTGAAAAGACTAGAGGTGGACTTCTACACTTGAATTCTCCATATTATGCGTTTGTTGTTCTTCTTTCTGTGCAACTATAGTAGAAAGCCTTTGCAGTTTTCATTACTGGACTTACCAGTCTTTTGATGCATCATATTTGTGATACACAACCATTGGACTTAAATGTCAAATTGGTTGTCTCTAAAAACTTTTTTTTTTGCAGTGCATACCGAATCACCTACTGCTTGTCCTTGTAGCATGAAAAACTATTTGCTATACTAAGGTCACAAATTTTATTCTTTGTGAAAGAAGACATGAATGTGTTTGTATTCCACAGTTTTAAGTGGAAAATATCTGTCGAACTTTTTATAATTTCCAGAAATAGTAGCATCCCATTATTGCACTTTGCTCGGTTATCTTGTCTTAAAACTTTCAAAGGCGAAAGTCTTTCTGGTGTCACCTTTTTTCTTCACCTGTTTATTCTGACCACAACTGGCACATACATCTTGTGGGCTACCATTTTCTATAAGACCAAGTGATTTTATTTCTTCTATTTACCAGGTCAGAGTCTCTTCCACGCTTTCCTCTAAGACCAGAAAATAAGATAGGAGAAACTTCACAAAATGCCTCTATCCTAAAGTGCACGAGGGAGTCTACTTTTGGTGTAGAGGAGGAAACAGAGGAGTCCTACAACGGAAAGGTCTATCTCCAATACCTAACAAAAGAACCCAGCAAGGAACCTGATTATGATGAGCTAGCGGACTTTGTCGAATGCAAGCCTGGGAAGGATTATTGCAGATGGTTGAAAGATAAAGAAAGATACCGAAAGTGGAAATCAAAGAAAATGGCAGTTGTGAGGTGGAAAAAAAGAAGGATGACTTGGAAATTTATGGTACAGAATAAAGCTTAGTTGTCAGAAAGGAAGGAAATCAATGGAGCAACTTTTTATTTATTTATAGTTGTGATTCCCAACAATCAAGACTTCAAAAGTTTGTGGACCCCAGGTGCATAACATCAAAAGTTTGTGGACCCCAGGTGCATAAAACCCTGTTAGTTTCCTGACTCTGTTAGTTTCTAAGCTTTGCATCGATTTTTATATTTATCCATCTTTTCTGTTCTGCTTTGCAGGCAGTCACGTGGACTGATGAAGGGATGGTTAAGAGAATCTTTAATCAGTTTGAACGTTCCATGACATATTCAGCTCGTGGAATCTTTTGATCATATGCTTCCGGATGTTCATATATCCACTGATCATAAATCTGGCACACAAAGCTGGAAAGGATGTTGGTGTGCAAATTGCTTCTGTTCTGCTTGGGGAGATTGAGCAAGTTGTAGTAGTAGATTCAAAACATCAGGTCTGTCTTTCCATCTACTCTGCTCCTTTCAAGTCCAATTTTTTTCCTTTACATGGATCCAATGCTTTTACACTAAATGGAAAAATTTCTTATCTTTGATTTCAATTTATTTGTTAAATTTTCTGGTCACATGTTATATATATTTTGTCATGTTATGCTATATGCTGTCTATGTTGTTCTTTATGCATACTTTATATATGTGCATACTATCTGGCCATCCAAATTTTAAACATCAGCCGTCCTTAGAAATTTCAGGTTTGCGAGTACACCTCTAGAGAATCAATATTTCTGACGGTGATGTTGCCATTGAGTTTTATATTGTTGAACAATAGATGATTACTCTTTAAGGCTTCTCCACAAGAAACTTAAAAATTGCATCACTTCATTAAATTTTTATTGTTGTATATTTATAACCAGCAAATGTTACTATGCTAAAAATAAATGTTAAACTACTATGTACAGATTTCTGGATTTTTAAGTATAATAAATTGGAGTCATTTTATGCGGAAGGTCCACGCGAAATCTTTCAGCTCTGTCACTAATTGCCAATCTGCTAGCATAATATTGAGGGGAAAGAAAGGTGTAAAAGGAATGGTGTTTAGGATTTGAATGTTCCTGCTGTATGATGAAGTTATTTCTTTCCATGTCCTTATAAAATTCACGATCATGTTTGTTTTGCAGGTGCTCTTATTTCTTCTTTGTGCTCTATGTCCACAAGATATATCAAAGGTTGGGGTTGGCAAGCTCTCACCATATGGCATATCAGAGAATTCCTAGGAGTTAAACTTGTCATAAAGCCAGATCATTCTACTTAAAGGTTTGGTTTGTGGGTTGAGGAATCTATCTAGAAATGTAGCATAATGACAGAATATAAATATCCCGTAAATGAACCCATACATGGGTCGATATGCTTATGTAGCGGCCAACATCTTGTCAGATGGGCTGACATGAGTCGGTGCCCGCAAGTATGATACTATGGGACGTGTTCTGCCAATTTGGAGTTCTAGAGCGATTTTTTCAACCCTTTATTAGCAGAGAAGTTTTGACATTTTTTCTTTATTTCTTAGGGCCCGTTTAGTTCTTTAATTCGAGTTGAGATGTGACTGTTTTTGAAAGTTTTTTATTATAACAAAAAAGTTAGATGTGATTGTTTTTTAGAGTTTTTTACTGTAACAAAACTCGAATTAGTGAAATAAACGGGGTCTAAATTTGCGTGTTTGATTTTTGTGAATAGAATTGACAATATGAGTCACGACACAATAACACGATTTGAAAACGACACGAATTTTACGGGTTAAGGTTGAAAAAAGAGGTTTATATCAAAATTGGGTCGACATGAAAAATACGGGTCAATTTTAGGTTAGATCCGTTTAACTCGAACACGACACGAAATTCTTAAAAACTAAAACATATGTATATTTTTAATTATATATTTTAAATTTAATTATGAATTTGTGATATTATGATAATTATATTATTATTTGTTTAATTTTGATAGATGTTATTGTATTTTAACGTGTTATAAATTTTAAGTTATTTCTAATATGTAAAAAAATTAAAGAAAAGTATATAATTTGTGTCAATTTTGAGTTCACGGGTTAATTTCGTGTCGCATGTTATTTTCGTGTCATGTCGTGTTAACCTGTAAAGTGGTTGTGTTGTGTTGTAATTTTTTTTAAAATTTTATGTCATGGGTCGTGTTCGGATTGATTATAAATTTAAAAAGAAAGAATCAAAACACGACACGAATACGACATATTGACACTCTTATTTATGAACTACTTAAATGGCATTTCAAATACACTAATAGAAACTTATGTTAGCAAATCAAGTTACTTTTAGGACTATTTTGCGAGTGAGAGTTGAGCTTTTTGTTGATTGTAAGATGAATATTATTTCCAGTGTGTGGCGTAGGCGTGAATGATTGGATTTCAGCAAATTTTGTTTATGGTTTGCCACACTTGTTCTTTCGTACTTTTTCAAAATGTGTTATTTGTACGTGGTGTCGTTTTCACAGTTTATCCGGGGAATTTCTGCCTCGTTTTCACGAAAATATTAATGAATTTTCCGAAGAATTATGGATATTTGTATTATTATATATACAGAAGTTTTATTTTTGAATGTGGCCAGAATTCAATAACAACTAATGTCGCCACTCGCAACTAATATCTGTAAAAAATACATTGAAATATTAAAGCTAAATTCAAACTAATAAACTATACCTATCTACCTATTAAATGAGAATGAGTTTCTACGGGATCCCTGCGAAAGGTTTCGCACATGAGAAGGGAATGTGCGAAACGTTTTGCAAGGAGTATTTTTCCCTCCATGCAGTGAAACTTTTGTTTTATTTATTTATTTATTTATTTTTCCTTTTGGGCCTTTTTTCTTTCTTATCTTTTGCTTTAAATCTTTTTTTGTTCCTTCTGATTCCATCTTTATTTCTTTTGTTTTTTTATTTTTTTTAACAATTTGTATAACTGTTGTTTTAAATAATTTTTCGTGCTCGTTTTTTTACTAGTAAATAAACAAAAGTCTCAACACTAATCCGAACTCATGTAATATATAATTGAACTCCTAAAATTCAATCCAAAAACTAAAAATCAAACCAAAGAGTCAAAACACTAAAGAATATCCTTACTCATCTTTATTCATTTCCCCACTCTTATCCCGCCTTTAAATCGGGGTTATTTTTTACCCCTCTCACTGCTCCTCTCTATATTATATCCCAATATGCATATTTTTAGAGGTGGATATAAGAACTCATGGGTAAGAATGCAATCTCTGTATACAAAATTATTCAAAACACCCCTTTATCTATAATACTAACAAAATAATGATATGAAACTAATGAGTTCTTAGACGACACTACTTTTCGTTACTAACATTTTACGTATTATTCTAACCTTTTTCAACCGAGTTCATTCACTATTTAAGACTACAGTTCGTCCATTTAATATGTTGTGTATATGAAATTTGGTGTTGCTTATTTATAGCTAACATAACTGGCTAGTAGTTTTGTGTTATATGTGTATGTGTACAATATATTTGTGGGTTATGTACTGTATTTTTGCTTTTATTCAAAAGGCATGCCCTAAATTTTAAAGTCTTACATTTTTGTACCTTGACATTATATCTAATATCCAAGTTCATACATTTTCTTTATCAAAACTTGATTTTGACCCAAAAAATGCCAAATAAGCTTAGAAAGTAAAAATAAAAAAAAAAGCAATTCTAAAAATAGGAAAAAAAATAACCAAAAGGTAAATAACCTAAAATCTTCTTACTGTTGCCTAAAGTTGAAATTCCATTATTTTTTTTATAAGATTATTTCAGGTATTTTTAAGATCAAAGTCAAATCTTGATTAAGAAAAGATAGGGACTTGTGTATCAAATGCAATATAAAAACGTAGGATTTTAAAATTCAAAGTATACTTTCTTAATGAAAGCAAAATATAGGGTATAAGAAGGATAAAAAAAAACTATATCTATTAACTATACAGGCAAACACATTTAAGAGTGATCAGGGCTGTCCTTAAAATGATCAAATTGGTGGTTCAATCCTGCAATCTCATGCATTCTTCATATTTTTGTTTCTTCATGTTTTTGGTACCAATACTTGACTTAAGAACCTTATAAAAAAAAAGGTCTTGGCTAAAGTGTTGGGGGAAGCGAAGAAATCTCTATGGGCTGCTAGGTGCCCAAAAGGGACAATACATATGAGTAACGAGTAGAATACCCAACTATGCTGAAGGTCTCTTGAGGTTGAGGCGTTACATTCACTGAGTGCTCAGGGTTGCATAGCAAAATAGGGAAAAGCACCTTGGTAGGAATCAATATTGATAAAAACATGGGTTACAAGACATAGCGTTAAATTTGGGGTGTAAGTTGGGGAAGTGGCGTTTGAAATATTTAGGTTTACCTGGCTCATCTGCATAATCGTTTCTTGGTGTTAATATTGCTCGATTAATCATTGTGTTTATGTTTTGAAAATATTGATTTAGATATGGGAAAACAGTGAATGACACTCACTCAATCTGTTCTAGTGAAGTTTCCTATCTATTATGTTTCTCTCTTTAAGATGCCTAGTTTTGTTGCAGACACTCTTAAGAGAAAATGATTAGAAAGTTCTTATGGGAAGAGCATGAAGGAGGTAAGCTATGAAGCTTATTGGCGTGGGACATAATAAGAAGCAGCAAGTAAAATAAGGGAATGTGCTTAGGAAATTTGAAAAAGCAGTATATATGGCCCTCTTGGGGAAGTAATTGTGGAGATTTCCATTTTATAGGCAAGAATCATGGGTTACAACCAAATGGATGGGACTCAAATGTTGTTGTCAAATGCTTTTTTATGTCACTAAGCATTTATTTCTCATGGTCTTCAAGTTTTCGCTAAGCATTTATCTTGGAAGGTGGGATTGGGTATTCTAGGGTTATGTTTTGAGAGATGCTTTGTGTGAGAACATTTCATTTCGGACTTCCTTTCATAGACTTTTTAGATTGTTTGCTGTCCCTAATGCGTTTATTGCTGATTTTATATTTAAAGGAAAATAAGGAGTTAAATTGGGATTTCGGGGTTAAGTATCTAAACGACAGGGAGGAGGAATTGCACTCACAAATACAATTACTCTATTCATTTTCTCCTAATTCAACTATCCCAATAATAGAGTTTGAGTAGTTGATCTTTTAAAATTTTCTTGCAAGTCCTTTTTTTTTTCCATTCTTACAGACAATCCTGATGTTCTTTCTTTTGAGCCTTTTAATTTTATCAAGAAATCCTGTGTTTCCTATAGAGTTATGGTTTTTAGATTGTGTTTCCTATAGAGTTATGGTTTTTAGATGGTTGGTTTTTCATGGAAGATTAAATACTCGTGATATGTTTCAATGGAGGAATCTTCATATTTCTTGTCTCCTAATAGGTGTGTTTTGAGCAAAATGGAAGGAGAGTCTTTTGCTCATTTGTTCTTTCATTGTGAAGTAACAAGAATA